CTCGTGTGCCTGGCTTCTCTCACTCAGCATGTTTCCAGGGTTCACCTGTGTTGTAACCTGTGTCAGACCTTCATGCCTTTCCTGCGGCTGAGTAACCGTCTATTGTGTGGAAAGACCACACTCCGTTTGTCCATCTCTCCGTCTGCGGACGAACACTTGGGGCTCTTCCACCTTGTGGCAATGGTGAACAGCGCTGCTGTGAACATTCGTGTCACGTTTTGTTTGAGTCCCAGTTTTCACTTCCCTTCTTGTTTGAGCTCTCTGTGAACTTCCTGGGCCAGACTTGAGTTTGAGAGGCAACAAGCCAGCGAGAAAGATCATCACGCACTGGAGGTCCGGAGTCCCAGGTACCAGCTTGGCTCAGCCGCAAGCCCGCGACCTTGGACAAGTCTCTCACTTTCTCTGTCCCTCAGTTTCCTGCCCTGTGAAACTGAGGTGGCCCCGATCTGTGTTTCCATCTGCCTTCTTCAGAGCCCTAGGTTGGCGGAGCTTCAGGGGAAGAGGTGGGGAGGACAGACAGTTGGACTGAAGATGCTTTTTTCAAAACCTCTTTCCCTCTTCAGCTTGAGCGGCTCTCTCTCTTTCTCCTCTTCTTCTTTTTTTAAAATTGAAGAATATTTGATTTACAATGTTGTGTTAATTTCTGGTGTAGAACACAGTGATTCATTTATACATATATATACTCCTTTTCATATTCTTTTTCTTTATGGATTGCTCTCTCTTTGCTGTTTTGTCTACATTGTAAGACACTTAAAGCAAATGGTTCCTGGGGAGTGGGGGGGTGGTATAGCTCAGTGGTAGAGTGTGTGCCTAGCATGCACAAGGTCCTGGGTTCGATCCCCAGTACCTCCATTAGATAAATAAAGAAATAAATGAAACCTAATTACCTCCCACCCCAAAAGTATGTAGTACTATACATCAACTATATCGCAATAAAACTGGAAGGACAGAAATTAGAAAAAGAAGTCCAAATAAAATAATTAAAAAAATAAAGCAAATGGTTTCTGGATATAATAAATTTTTCCTATCACTGAAGTAGATGACCCCATGAATCATACAAGGGTTCTTGGGTGGAGATGAGCTTGATCCTGCTGGAAGGAGGGACTCCCGCTGACAGATGCTCACTCTGGCTCCTCCTGGTCCCTTGCAGGGAAGCAGGGCAATGCTGGGACTCTGGATCAGGGTCGGGGAGCAGGAGGCTGGTACTGAGTTGGGAAAGCATGGTTGTCCACACGCAGGTTCTCCTTTTCTGCATCTGAGCACATTGTAGCAGTTCTTTAAGAAATTCAGATCCATAGTGGAGAGTGCAGACTCTGTGTGGGTTTGGCTTCTGGTTCTACAGAGATTAGCCATGTGACCTTGGGCAAGCCACTTATCTGCTCTGTGCCTCAGTTCCCTGACCTGTACCGTGGGCGTGGTTCCTACTTCCTAGTTTGTGATGGAGATGAAGTGAGACTATCCCTCATGAAGTCCCAGAGCAGTGACTGGCCTTGGACCTCACTCCACCAACGTTATGACGGTAACGATGACACAGGTGGTGAAGTCCCTCTTCCCCCGTAGCCCAGATGACTCTCCTCCCTCTGAATTTTGGTGGTTCTCACTTTGCGCCACACTGCTTAGCAGCTACCGTGCTATATAGTCCCTTCGGCATGTGTCTAACCATCTCCTCAGCAAGTTCTGAGGCTTTGGGGAGGCAGGGCCTGGCAGGGTCTGACGATGAGACAGACCAAGACCTGCCTAAGGGAGATGGACTGGGCAGCCTGCGAGCATGGGTCTGGAAGTAGACAGGTGCCCCAGACACACCGAGTCCGGCTGGGAGCCAGGCAGCACGGTGGCATTTCTGGGTGGTCCAGTCCAGCTCCGGGGGCCTGGCCAACTCGAACGTGACAAAGGAGGGAGCATTCCATTTCCTTTGCTCAGAAAGCCTGCTCTTAGGTGGGGTGGGCGCTCCAGCAAGGGGGCTGTGCGTTGGAGGCGTCCTCGTTACCTTGAGAGTGGAGAAGGGAGCCGCCAGTGCTCAGTTTCCAAATGAGTGTGGTTTCCTGGGGCCTCTGGTTGCTTGCACGGAGCTCAGTAGGCCCGAGATGACCTGCTGGGTCTGGCTGCAGAGCTGACTGGACAGGTGACCCTGTGATAGGATAGCTTCAACGTTGCACTATTATGGTACCTTGTCTCTGTCCCCTCCTCTGCCTTGTGAAGGGCAGGCTTCCTAGTGGCCTCATTCTCTGACCGGTCATAGTAGGTGCTCAATACATATTTGTAGAGTAAATATTGAATGCAATACATGGTCCAGGGAGTTTTTCTCTTTGAAGGACAGTAGCTGTAGTGGGGGCCCCACGAGGCTGGGGCAAGTGTTGCCTGGGGGATGTTCACGAAGGTCTTCTTTGGGAGTCTGGCTCTTTGGAACACTGTGGTACACACAGAGGTGGCTGGTATGCTCTGCCTCCGTCCTTCTGGGCCATCAGGGTCACTTGGCTGTCAGCATGACCCTGGGCAAGGGCATAGGCGAGGGGTCCCCACTGGCATCGACTGTTCCTCTGGATGACAGGTCTCCTGAAGTTCAGGTAGATGGACTGAGGCACGTAATTAGTGGCAAAGTTAATGTACTTACTGCCTCCAGCCACTGTCTGCACCCAGTGCTTTGTGCAACCAAATGGGCACCGATGGATAAAGGGAGGGACTGACTGCCACTAACCCCGAGGAGTTGCTGTGATCTTATGGTTTGTCGTGGGCAGAGCGGGCGGAGGGTGGGAGTAGACGAAGGCAGGTCCAGCAGTGCCAGCAGGTTCTGAGCTGGACCGTTTGGTACCTGCTGTCTCGTCAGGGGCCTCGCTGCCGGCGGCTCACACCACAGAGACCTTACAGCGGTAGTCACGGTAGCTATGATCATGGTCGTGGCTGTACGCCAGTCAGGGTGTTAAGAAGTTTTGTTCCCTGTAACTGCCCGTGAGCTGGTATTTCCCCAGTCTCGTAGGGACTGAGGTCTTGACAGCCCAGCGATGTGCTCAGGGTCAGGCACCTCATGAGTGGCACAGCCAGCACCCCAAGCCAGGTCTGTTTGCTTCCGAAGCAGGTGCTCCCAACTGTGCCACTGTGTCACCTCCCCACAATGACTCAGGGTTGATTAAGTCACTGGTAAAGGTTTATCCAGGAGCTGCTGGGTTTGGCTGATTTTAAGCACTAGCGCTAACTATCTTCAATAATAAACACATACAAACACACAACCCACTCAGGACACACACTCAGACCCCCATACTTATATGTGCTGTTCTCTCTGTAAGGCCCTCCCTTCTACCCACCCACCCATTCATTTGTCTCACAAACATTTATCAGGACACTGTTAGGTCCTGGGGATACATCAGTGATGAGATATTCCTTGCCCTTGAGGAGTACATGGACCAGTGGGGATGCTATCCAAGTAGACAAGCAATTAGGATGCAGAGTGATCAATCCTACACACTTGGAGGAAGGTGCCAGGTGCCATGGGAGCACTGAGGATGGGCGACCAACTCTGCCGTGAATTTTAGGAGGGCCAGCCAGAGGAGGTGGCATCTATCTCCAGTGAGACCTTAGGGGAAACATCTCGGAAGGAGAGGGAAATGGAATGTGTTCTCTCTCGGGGATGTTCCAGTTGATCAGCGTCTTCAGCTGCCACCAACAACAGAAATCCGTACAATGAGGCAGCTCTCTTTTTGCCATAGGTTTCTGCTTCCCAGGTTCTTGGTGAAAGGTCCAGGCTTCCACACTGAGGTGGCTTGGGCTCTGGTTACTAGTCACCGGCTGCCCTGTGGTGGTGGCCGGTTTCCGTGGTTATGTGAGGCCCCCAACCCCCACCTGGACCCGTGGCCTTCATACCATGTGGCCTGGGTGGTGCTTTCTACCCTGACCTGCCCTGCTTACCAGGTTTGGGTGACAGTCCCTTCTTTTTCTTCAAGGCCCAGTTTAGCACCTCTGGTCACAGATGTCCACTCCGTTCTGTCCAAGGCCAGAGGAGGCTAACTGCAAAGGGAGGCTGCGAGGCCTCGAGGGGGCTGGGCTGCTTCAAAACCAGGAGCCTCCAGCGACCCCAGCTGCTGAGGAGGTTGAGCAGGGAGACCCCTTCTCCACGTTTCTCTGGTCGTCAAGGGCTGCAGATCGGTGCTGTATTATTACCAAGATCCAGGGAACCGTGTGCTAGTCCAGCCTTAATTGAACTTAAAATCCCTGCCAATTTCATGTTAGCAGATCCAGTTGGAGCTGGAAGTAATGGGCCGTATCATGCCTCAGAGCTGGAGCAATGACTTACATTGGTGTCACCCGCTGGCTTTTTATGGAAATTATTAATAAATCAGTAATTCTATCTGCAGTGATGTTGTTGTGTTGATAAATATTTAATTTACCTTCAGGTGCCCACATTTCCTCCATCTTTGCCTTAAACTCTGCTGACACTGCTGTTCTTCCTGAAGCTCTGCTCGGCAGTGATCGGTAGTGGGAAAGGTTCACGCTCTCTCCCCCTGTAATAGGCCTTTTTCTTTTCTTTTTAATCTTCGTGCAATTTGGCTCGGGGATTGGGGCTCAAGCTGAGAGAATGCAGCGTTTCTTGGGACGAGGATGAAAGATGAGTGCAGCTTCAGAAGCCCGGCTAAACTTTCCGATCGTGACCTTGCACGAGTGGGCGCTGGTGTTGGCGTGTGTTTCCCCCTCCTCCGAGTTAATGACATTTAGAATCAGAAATGGTGTCTGATGTTTTCTTCCCGCAGAGAAATCCCTTTGTCCTTGCCACTGCCTCATCTTTTGAAACCCAGCACTTTGATGATTATCGTATGGCAGGTTGAATGGCAAGGTCTTAAAAAAAAAGTCAGAATAGAAACACAGTCCAAGTCAAGCGTTTCTCCACCAGGGATGGGGTTCCAGCCTTGCGAAAGAGGGCAGCAGCTGGGAAACAACGAAAAGACTTTCTGACCTCTCAGGAGCCAACGTGAGCTAATTGTTGCTATTATCTTTCTATTCTTCTGTTTCAGGAAATTGCAGCTTATTTAATAACATTTGAGAAACACGAAGAATGGCTAACCACATCCCCTAAGACCAGGTAATGTCCCAGCTCTCATAGTTTTTCAAATATGTAAATGGATTGATTTTCATTGATGATCTGATTTGGCCAGTCAATTCACCGCCAAGTTCAAAATGCCATGTTGTGCCTGATAGCTTGTGACACTGAGGTCTCACTCACTGACCTACGCCTGTGGTACTGAATGCAATTGGATGGATTAAAAGCAGTGCAGCTGCCATCATGGACCCTGGACATTTCCACCTGCTAGCTCAACGCTGGGTCCTTCAGCGGGGGGCTTGGGAAGGCTTGGGCAAGCAGGCAGGACAGTCAGGGGGAGTTTATTTTGGGAAAGTGCCCACCTGTCACCAGTGTTCTCCAGAAACTTACTTTCTAAATAGGGAAACTACCTAAACTGTCCACTTTCATTGCTGCCTGTTGCCCAAACTGAAAGTAAAGTCGTTATCGACGGTGGTATGAGCTCCCAGATCAGAAGCACTGGCTGAGTCTGCAGTTTGTTATTCAGTAAAAGCCTGTGAGCCAGCCGACCGCCATGGCCTCTGAACTTCTCTCCCCACTGGGAGCGGGGAGACCTGGTGAGGAGTCAGCTGACTTGCGGTCTGCCAGAGCAAGGGATGCTATTTCGTGAAGAATGGTGAAGTTGAGGTTGAACATTTATTTTAAAGGTACCTCTTCTTTCCTCCTCAGCTCTCATTCGTTCGTTTTTGGTTTGTTATATCCTAGAGCTTTGGAAGTACATGGCCTCTGCCTTCCAACTGCCACAGTTTTTCTATTAGCAGTGATGAAGGGGCCAGGTGTTTAATAGTCTGAGCAGCGTTAGCCGGAGTGTGGCTTCCGGGATCACTGGGCTGCGGGTTTGAATTTGAGAGGCAGAAAGCTCCGTCTGTACACTTTGGCCAGAAGCATCAAATTCTCCAAGTTTGTTCACTGAGACCAGGGAAAGGGGTGGGAAGTGTGTCCTCTGCCTCCTTGGCCATCAGTGTGACCTGTTCATCCTTCCTGAGCCATGAAGGAAAGATGTTTACTCGGTCTAGAAGTTTCTTTAAAATATTTCTTTACAAGGCTTAGGTTTTTACTGGTTAGCATTCATTAGATGAGAACAAAAATTTCTATATTGAAAGAAGTCAGAGGATACGGAGGAAAGAAAGATTAGTTCCTGAGATTTGCACCCCCAGGTGGGAGTAGAGTTTGACTCTGATCCTTTTACCTTTCATCCTGAATCCCTCTGTAGGATGTCTTCAACTCCTCGGCCTTCTGGGGCCATGATTTCCTTTGCTGTAAAATCAAATGGTTTGTATCAATCAGCTTTTGATGTGACAATGCTTTGTAAGAAACAATCTCCAAACTAAGTGACTTATAACAAACAATAAGTTCCTGCTCATGAGTCTATGGGTTGGCTGCGGTGTTGAGTTGGGTTCAGGACCACTCGATGTGAATTTCTGTTGTAGGACCTAGGCTGAGAAACCACCCCCCGCCCACTCCCCTTCCCCGTCTGGGGCATCTCATGGCGGATCCTAGAGGTTTAAAGCCCAAGGCACTCCATGCAGGCACAGTGAAGCCCCCTGGATAGGATGCTGGATGTGGCATCATATGTCACACCCGCTCACAAATCCATTAGCCAAAGCAATTCCCCTGGCCAGGCCCGGCGAGAATGAGACCAAGAAGAACATTCTTCACTAGAGTGGGGTCGGAGTGGGGAAGGCGAGAATGAATGGGGTGCAGTGTACTATTTGGCGAGCACAGCTTTGCCCCTTATGATGGAAAGCTTGGCACACCCCTTTCTCCTTTCTTCTGGGGGCATCTTCCAGGGCAGGATCCCCAGACTTGAGCAGGCATCAGAGTCAGCGGGAGGGCTTGTTAAAGTAGTCTGCTGCGCCCCACCCCCGTTTCTGATTCAGTGTGTCTGCTGGGGGACCCGAGCCCCCGTTACTTCCCACCAGTTCCTAGGGGATGGGATGCAGCTGGTCTGGGACCTCACTTTGGGTACCGCTGGCTGCCCTAGTTTCTCTGGGCGGAGGGACTCTGATTTCTGCCTCGGCACCATTTCCTGACTCCCAACAAGCGGTTCTCATCTCAAGCAGCTTCCAGCCTCTCTACACGCCCTTCACTCCTCAGCCAAACACTCCTTGAATATAAGTGGAAAGAAAGAGCTTCTGCTTAGCTGGAGAGTGAGATTCTCTGGAACGCGTCCCAGGCCAGACATCTGATTTCAGATATACAGGCACATGTCCTGCTCCAGCTGCCCTCTGACTGCACGACCCACGGAAGGACATTTCAGGGCGGGGACTCTGCCTTGCGGTTCAGTCTGAATTCAGGTTTCCATCGAGAACTGAATGTCACTCACGGTCATGCCTTCTTGGAGTATAAATAGAGCCAAGAGGCTTCCGTCCCAAGGCACTAGGGGTGCACCTGGCAGAAGAGAAGTCGCGTGGGTTTCCATATTGACAAATTCAGGTCTGAGCCTTGGCCCGTAGCTTTGACACTTAAGCAAGTCATTTTTGCCCCTTTAAAAGCTCCCCTTTGTCTTCTTCATTCATGAATCGGAACCAATGCCTGTCCTGTCCTCACAGGGTCATTCTGGGGATTGAATGAGATAACGTTTGTGATCTCGCTTTGCATGCTCTGAGGGTCTGTGTCCACGCACAGGGATGTCATCGTCCCTCTCGTCTCCTCCTGGGGCTGCAGGAGCCTTCGCCTGCTGGAGGCACCTGCCACAATGTCTCCAAGGCTTCGGAAGGACGAATTTCTTCCTAAAGACAGAGGGTGAAGACAGAACGTTTCCTGTTAGTGTTATAATATCCAACCCGTGTTTACACTTGAAAGCTTCTCGTCCCAGGAGGAGGAAAAGTTGCTGCGGTTGTTCGAGCACCTTCCTAAATTAGTTGTTGAGTTGCATTCGGATCTCTCCCCCTCCCCCTTCCATCTCTTGTATTGGAATTAATTGGTGCGGTTAACTGCTGAGTTCACACAAACCGGCCTCCTGGTATTAAGGAATTAATGACACCAACACTCCGCTGAACGAGAAGGCAATGCAGCTTCTGTTTGCCGCCGCCGCCGCCACTGTTAATTTCATTTTAGAAAATTAATAAAAATGAATTGCACCACTGACATTTATAGCGTTTCCTGATAAAAGGATACATTGTTTGTGTGGAGGAATCCCTGTTAAATTAATCGTTGTAATCAGTTCACATATAGATGTTGGTATAGGAGCTGCAGAGGGACCTACCCTTGGTCTCCGTGGCTTGCTGATGGCTGGGGGTTATAAATAGAGCCCTTGCTCAGATCCTGCCCCAATTACAGAGACGGTCCCGGGAGCCCCGCTCACCTGTCTAATAATGAGGTGTGCTACCCAGAGGCTCCCAGGGTTGGGGGCCCCGGGCGCAGCGCGGCACCACGACAGGGCTGAGGGCTGAATGTTTAAACAGCGCATGTTGTGTTATCAGCAACTGGGACCTTCTGGAAATGGCAGCTTGAAAAATCACCCTTCAGAACGTCTTTATTTGGCACTTGCTGTGTGCTCAGCACTAGAACTGTAACATGTGGAGACCCCGGGGAACTCCCCGCTCCCCACCCCTCCGGGTGAATTTAGAAACTTGGAATTAAGAGCTTCCTCCCTCTGTCTAGAATGTTCTTCCAGCTCCTCCTTCTGGCCTGGATTTGGGTGTCACTTTCTCTGTGGGGCCTTCCCTGAACACACAATTGAAGATCGCACGCCTCCCAGCCAGCCAGACTCCCTTTCCTCTTTTCTTGTTTCCTGTTTCTCTAGAGCGCTTAGCTCCTCCGGACACACGGTGTGCCTCTCCTATTTATTCTGTTTGATTCACTTCTTCATTATCCGACCTCCTCCCCCACGAAGTGGAAGCACCACGAGGAGAGGGAGTTTTGGTCTGTTTGTTCCTGGGGCGTCCCCAGTGCCTGCTGGACGCACAGTAGGTGCTCAGTGTGTATATGTGAAACAAGTCAGCAGTAGAAAACGTGAGTCTGAAGGTTGTGAAGAAAGAGCTCTGGGTTTATTCTACTTTATTTTTGTCTTGTACAGATTGGCCTAGTGCTGGGCTCTGGGACACTTCTGTGGGCCTGGCACTGTGCTTTTCAGTCCTTTCAACAGCACTGCCAGCACTGACATGCAGAGAGGGTGTGTTCTCTGTCCAAGATTGTACAGCCAATGTTCGAACTGGAATTTGAACCCAGAACAGGAAGGTCTTACTACAAAGCACACATTCTTAGCTTTGATACTGTAACTCTCCTGCACATAGCAGGTGTGAGATTTGAAGGTGGCCCCATAGATCGTTCCACTCTGCTTTCCCTCCTCCCATCTCCCTGAATTCTGAGCCACCCGGGAGACCCAGCCTCCTTTTGCTGGTGAGCTTGGCTTGAGTAGGTCAACCGGCTGGGTTCCTTGCTGGCCTCCTGAGCTGGATTTAGCCCCCGAGTTGCAGGCAGTCTGGAGAGCTCCCCCACAGGGCAGAGCTGAGTCCAGCAGAGCATAGGCAGGTGGGCTGCAAAATGTAGTGATTCCAGTAATTTCTCTCTCCTCCCCTGGGAAACGTGCAGCCTTCCTTGGAAGCTGGGAGCAGGGCAATGCTCAGCGGGGAGTTGGGAGCACTTCCTTCCCAGGAGCCCTGTGTGTGCCAGTTACAAGGAGGCAGGAAATGCTGTCAATTATCTAATTAAGTAATTGAATTTATGTAGGTAGCACCTTCAAGCTGAAACACTACAGGTCTAGTGATAGAATTTTCCTGTAATGATCATCAAATGCTTCTTGGTCAGTAAGCAGTAAGAGTCAAGTAGAGGGAGGGTCTGGAAGGAAAGGAGAGGAAAAGCAAGGCCTGAGTTTCAAGGAGACTCAGCGAGAGCCCCACCCTCGCTCTCCGGGCTCTCGGGACCCCACAGGTCCATTGTGTCTTCCATGCTGGGTCCTTCCTACCCTGGTGACCAGACCAGGTCTTGGGTCTTCTGCTCTTTCCTCCAAAGCGCTCCCTCCCAGGACTCCAAGAACTCCAGGGTTTGACTGTTAACTC